TGTTTATTACATGATAAGTTAATGTAATAAATAAATTCATAAATACAAAGAAAACCTTCTAACCTTAAAGCCTTCACGTAACTGGAAGTTCTCTTTTTCTTCTTGACTTTCTTTGACTTCAAATTCAAAAAGTGCATCATCATAATCATCATCATCATCATCATCATCATCATCATCATTTTTGTCACTATAATTGCCATCATCATCTCCATCATTTCTTAATTCCCATTCAAAACATTTTAAATCACTGCTGCTCATTAAACATATCTGATGATCGGTCAGCTTTGTGAGATACCTATAATAAATGTAATTTTTTAAGAAATTAATTATAGAGTATAAATAAATAAGCATAAAAATTTTTTATTACCTGTGGAAATTAACCATATTTTTTTTAATTTGATCAGATGCATTCTCTTCATAACAACCAGACTCAGGCCAATGAATTACTAAACCAAGATTAACATTCACAATCAACAAGTAGATTCCTGAACAAAGAGAAGGACTCCCAGTTTTATTTGAAGATACAAGCAAATCACACCTAAAATATATAAATATATTAATCATGAACAATAAAAAATTATAGACAAAAGAAGAATTAATTTCAACTTACACTTTTTGGTTAATAATTTTTTTAATTAATAGTAGCTTTGCAATCAATTCATAGTTCCCATAGCAGCCAACAAGATTGAATGAGACTTTATTCAGTTTTTTATAATTAATGTTTGAAACAGACTTAAAACTTTTGGGAACCAATTCGTTACAAAGCTTTTCTAATGATTCCTTTGATATGATTATTTTGTTAACTAAAAAAATAAATTATATCAATAAATATCACAAGTCACATTATTAATTAATTTCTACGAATAACCAAAATACATACCAAGACCATTTGATCCTTCGTCTTTTTTTAGATCTAACAATAGATACAAACCCGGAATATAATCCAAAAGATCTTGTCCCTTTTTAATATCCTTATTCGAACTAGTATATAAATCTTTACGTTTTGAAAATATTTCTAAAATTTTTTCGCTGATTTTTTTATGATCATCTGATACCACATCATCTGATGTTCTAGTTTTAGACTTATTATTGGTGGATGATTTAATGGGCTTGGTCACGATTACCAAACTTTCTGTATCAGGAATTCTTGATGTGGACGAATTTGTATTGTTTTCATGACCAAAATTTGTTTCATTTTTCTCAAAACTAAGGTTTTTAGAAGCAGCACTTTTTTTGATAAGGGGATCAGACAATTCATCCGAACCTTCGGATTTCGAATTGCCAAATGTTGTCTTGCTATTATCGAAGAAGCTTGTATCCATATCGTTGTTAAGGTTTCCTGAAACGGTATTTTCTTCGGCAGAGGATGTCGGTTGATTATTTGTTTCAACGGAGTAATCAAATGCGTCAAAATCAATCAAATCTTCATTAGTAGTACTATCAACATTATGATCATATGTTGTTTGGGAAGAAGTAGACGAGTCATTATATTGATTAGACGAAGACGAAGAACTGGCTGCTATTGAGGAACCATCATTTGACACATTCGAAGCAACAGTTGGTCCAGGCGAAACTGGAGAATTGATCGAGTTACCTATTTTTGTAAAAACCCCGTTTTAAACACGCTAATTTATATTAATGCAGGCAATTATTTCAAAAGGATTTTTACTTACTACTATTTTCTGGTATTTCGGGACGAATTTGCATTTTTAAACCAATTCTATCTGGTTAAAAGGTAATAAAGAATTAATTGATCCTTTAAATACTTCTGGAACGTCCCATTCTTTCCAAATAAAGAAAAGATCATCGGCGAAAAATAGACTTTATTAAACCAAACTCTCTTCTGTTCAATAACCCAAGATAAGAATGAAACTTGTATTTATCTTGATATCATTCAATTGATTGTTTTAGAAAAACTAAATATATTTATTTGCCTTTCAAATAGCTGGGAAGATTTAAGAACGCATGACCAACTGTTAAAAAACCATATTGTTGTTCTATCATTGTTATAAGAATTGTGCTCGCATTTTTATTTTTCTTTTTGAACAAAAAAACCGCGTCTATAGTTTTTTTAAAAAACAGGTATAAATTGTTCTATGGTCTATTGGTTAAGATCTGCAAAAATAAACTTTATATAACTAAAAAAATGTTAGTGGAATTTCTTGAATTGGTTAATTTTTAACACATGATACTTTGGCGGAAAAACCTTGTGAATAAAAATTGACGTATTAATATAATGTTATTTGATTTTTTAATTGGGCAGAACCTACATAATAATAAAATATACCATATTTAAAGGATGGTCTAGGCAGTTGTGTTTCATCAAACCAGTTTCTTGGTTTTTTAGGAATTAGAGTGTAATTATCATCAAGGACTTATAATAGTCAGAATCACAAAAAAAAAAAAATTTCTATTACTATGAATATTAATTTTTGGGAGAGCGAATTTAATTGATAGCAATAAAAACAATAGGTTATGGAGGATCAAACTGAATAGGGTATTTACTGGCGAATAGTTTTCGAGTCGTAGCTTGTAATTTAATGCCAATAACAAAAATAACAAAAAAAAAAAATTTATAAAATGTCACTAAATTTATGTTTTAAAAATGTAGTACAACAAATCAAAAAATCAAGTGAACAAAGACAACAGCAACAATGAAAAGTTGGATCAATTAACGAAGCAATACGGATTTAAAGAAAATGATAAAGAAAAAGAAAAAATCAACGAAATATACCATTGGCAGAATTTTCTTTATAATTTGAAGAAAGGATGGGAACAATATTAAATGGGTTCCATATGATAAATTTCGTAATATCAAACTATTAGCTGAAGGAAGATGCACAATCATAAATATTGTTGTAAAAAAGTTGTACTGAGAGGCGTATACGACTCTATTCCAATGATATTAATATTAAAAGAGATAAATAAAATTCCTTGATTTTTACTGATTTATTTAATTAATTGCTAATTATTATATTATTGAACTATTGCTAGGATCACAAAGAAATTTAGAAGGAAAATGGCACTCATGACCGACGGAAATACTTGTATGACGTCAGGATTATTACCAAATTTGGAAATCGTCCGCATATGGTGAGAAAAATTGGAACTCCTTCGTCGATCAATTTATACTATATAATATGTGTGGCGAACAAGTTAACGTGATACTTTGCCGCCTTTTGAAAATATATTTTTTTTAAATAATAATCGAAATAAACAGTATTGAACTTGCCTTTTCATAATCTGCTAAAAATCTAGAAAAACCTATATAAAGATCGTTTAAAATAATCAATTGAATTTTTTATATTAATTGTTCTCTAAAATATTTTCATAGAATAAATGATGAGACGTCATTATATACACACCATACACCACCATCATTAACATCATCGTCATTGCCTTATCAAGAATACAAACTTGATAATGATGATGATAAAGAAAATAAAAAAACATCACTTGTGATAACATCATCATAAATTAAATTATTTGCCAATAAATTTTTTTTTTTGTGTGCGTTTAATAAATGAATCCGTCATACATTTCAACAATCATTGACAAATCATTATTGAATGTGGAAAGAATAAAAAAAATTAAAAATGAACCATGATTTCAGCAATGATTAACAATATGATATCTTTACTAGTTGGGGATGTCGAGTTTATAATATGTTAGCCCATAAAGTATTGGGGTGTTAGATATAAGTATAATCGCAACCAAATAATAGATACATATGTAAACTCGATAAGTCGGTCATGTGGGGGTGAGCTCATGTGACCGGTTTGTCGAGTGAACCGACTTATCGAATTAAATTACTTAAATATTAAGAAAATGGGGTGAAAATTTTGGCCGACTTATCGAGTTTACATCCTAAATTGCCGCCTTTAATGGTTAATTATGAATTAAGTATTCGAATTACATTGAAAGTTTATAAAACAAACAAAACGAATAATGCGAATAATAATTCGGAATAATTCGAATTCGAATTAATATTAATATTATTAATATTAGTATTAGTATTAGTATTAGTATTACGAATAATTCGAATATTACATTCTTTATTACTATCTTTTATTATTGTATAATTTTTTTTTTTTTGAGCAAATGTGTTTTTTTCTTTTATCATTCTAAATAATGCAGATATGGACGGGAACGCACATCAACTAAATGTTTTATTCTGCACTAAAATCCCAGATATAAAAATAAGTGTTAAGAAATTCTTTTATCATCTTAACCGGCTCACATCACTAATTATAATTACAAGTATAACGAATATTGCAAAGAGGATAATAAGTCAAGGACATCAATGAACTACCAAGAAAAAAAATATAAAGATTATATGATCAATTATCATATGTGAATGAATACAACCAAATAAAACAAGCGAGAGAATGAGAGAAATTCATTACAATCACACAATAATGATGACGATGATGGCGTTGTTTAACACTTCATATCACTGAGATTATGACCTGTTACCAATGTCCATAGTCCCATAAAAATTGGCATGCTCACTCTATAAAGAATTTTTATTTGAATCGTTGAAGGCAGCTTTTATTACCAGTAAGGTGGTAAATTAATGTATATTTACAACCTTATGCCTGCTTTAGGTGAATAAAGCTACGTCATTTTTGAACTAATCCTTTCAGGATAAATTTATTTTTTATTAATCAATTTGTGTTTTTAAAAGATTAAAAAAAAACGAAGTTGCTATATTAAACCTTGTCACATATATATTGATTTCTACTTTACAATTTTTTCATTAAAGAAGGTTTATGTGTTCTTAAACTTTCTGCAACAACAGTAAAATGATTAGCTAAAGCTATTTCATCAATAGCTTTAGTGAATTGACACTTTAAAGATTGGGATGAAGAATTAGTTGGAAGATGACTTTGTGCAATATTAGCCATGTTTACTAATGATGGACTAGAAGAATCACTGCTAAATGAAACTGTATAAAGATATAACGGTGACCTATTAAATTAGTGAAAAAAATTTTTAAAATTATTATAATTATTTTATTTATTATTTATACATAAACAATATAAATCAAATTACACACCCTCTTTGTTGATTGACTCTACAAATATTTTCTAATCGAGCATCTGGTGATCCACATTCACCATCTGACAAAAATATAATAATATTTGTCCTTGAAATATTTAAAATATAAGTTAGTTATATTATATATATTAAAACCAATTTTAAATCAATCAATGGATATGAATTTAAATTACTTTGTTGGATCATAATATTTATCAATCAGGAACCCTGCTTTCTGTATTGCCAAGTCAAAGTTAGTTCCACCACTTGCACTATGCTGAACCATAATATCTAAAAATTTGTCTAGATCACTTAATGGTTGATTTTCAATTGGTACAATAGTAGCACCGTTGAACAAGATTAAAGAAATATTGTCTTTATTAATGGCACCCTGAGTTAGATTCCTTTGAGATATAAGGCGTGTTTCCATAAATGAATAAACCTTAATTGATAATGAGTTAGAAAAAGATAAGCTTGAAAATTTTTGTTAAAACAATAATATAAAATTAATAAATAGTATTAAATAATTACTGCTGAGTATACTGCGCCTAGCCTATTATCATGTCTTCGTGCAATTTTTTGACGGATGTCTGAACGAATATTTTCTAAGGGTCTGCTATCCCTATCACACATTGAAGATGATCGATCAAGTACAAATATAATATGAAATGCTGCTTCTCTTTTATTTGGATTATCACAGCTGAACTGATGACCATCCAGTGAAATGTAACCAATACCAGTTGATGTACTAGATGATGGATTTAAAGGTTTATGGAAAATTTCCAATTCACAATAAGATTTTGTGGGAGTTGCACTATTAGAACTTTGTTGCTTATTGTGAGCTTCATCTGGACATTCATGATCACATTTTGCAAATTCTACTTGTTCTTGTGTTGAATATGGATCTTTAAAGCCAGTTCTTTCCCAAAATAATTTATGAGTTACAAAATCCTTTTTTCGATCAGGATTGGGTTTGACAGGTGCTGATCATTTTAATAATTAATATATATTTTTAAAAATGTTTTTTATAAGAATTCTCATTAAATAAAATGGAAAGAATAAATACCATCTAAATGTATTACTTCATGTCCTTGTTGTCCATTTTTACATGCCTCCACATTTTGACAATAGTCAATATGTCTATGACGACCTAATTCTTTACAATGAAAATTACAAAGAACAAAAGAACCTTGATCTCCAATTTGTAATTTATATCCCTTATACTCAAATACATTATCATCTTCTGCAGTAAATTCAGTCTGTACCATATTTCCATGTCGAGTATCATGTAAAGTTTGTATATGTCCATGAGGTAAGTTGCAATAATATTCACAAAATTGGCATTTTTTATCACAAAAATGAACTCCATTTTCATCATGTGAATGTGGCCCAACATGCTTGAAGGAGTTTGGTGGTATTCTTTTATTACATCTCATCCTTTCACTTTGTTGAATATATTTAAAAAAGCTAATTGAAGTTTCTTTGATCAACCCTTTATAAGTTGCTTCTTCTTTTTTAGGTTCAGTTAAAATTTTACAAATACCTGGCTCTTCACATTCCTCAAGACATTGGTGATCATTACCACAAAAATGATTAACTGTAAATTCACTGTAAGCATGAAAATGATTATTACTCTGGCATCTATTCCGACAATCTGAAATTGGGCATTCAATTGGACATGTCTCATTTTCACAACGATGTTGATCATGCTCAAGCTCACATGGCATAATGCATTTGTTTGGACATTCATAATCACCTTTGTTAGTTGATGTAAAGAGTGAACATGACTCTCCACAATAATGACGATCTGACTGACACATGTGTTCATCATCTTTGTGTCCAATATCTTTTGAACATACTTTTTGACAATTACGTTTATCACTAAGGTTGCAAGGTTTTCCACATAAATGATTAGCTTTATTACATGCATGTTTTCCATCATGTCCTGCTTTATAACTACAAGTTGGAGTATAAGAACTATGTGCCTCTACAAATTGACATGAGAAATGGCATTCATGATTAGTTTTGCAGTCATGTTTGTCAGTATGATCATGATTTTTAAGACAGCGTAATCCACAATCCTGACAAGAAAGCCCACATAATGTCCAAAAAAGCCTAAGATTGTTGATTTCTTTTTCAAGAGCATACTTTCCAATAACAACTTCACTATTGTCTTGTGGAAATTTGTTAATATTTTGTAAAAACCATTGCTCAACACGATATACTCTTCGTTCAATAATAAAATTGAAAAACATTTCTAATTTATTAAACCATTCTGAATCTTTTTCAGACCTTTTCCTTTCTTGAATTTTATCTTCAAATTGATTTCTTAGATCATATGAAAAATCAATAAAATCAGCATTTTCTTCAAAGAGTAAAACATCTGAATCTGGAAATAGTTCATTTTGTGTATTGAAGGTTTCTGCAAATTTAGATAAATGAGTCTGGCCATCTGTTTTCTCCCCAGTGTCATGATTTAATTGAGGTTGATCATCTATTTTCTCTCCTGTATCATGATTTATTAAGGGCTTAGCTTCTTGCTCTTTTTGCTCTAAGCCATAAGATATAGCTATTGGAAGTATTCTTTTTAAAAATGATAAACGCATTTGAACAAGGTTTTCATCCAAAGATCCCCAATCACAAATTTTTAATTTAGCCATAATGACTTTAGTGTTTTGTAAAAATGTTCGTGCATTTTCATATTTTGCTTTCTGATTATCTAATTTTTTTTTAACAGTTTTCAAAGTTTTAAACCAAGCAGGATCATTAAATAATGGCCATGGAAAAATAGTTAATCCACTTTTATACATTCTAGTAATAAAATTATCTTCTCCTTGTTTTTTAACCAAATCTTCAAACTTGAGATGAAACTCATTAACAATTCCTTTTCGATCATTTTCATGAACATCTTTAATTATGATGCAAAGTTTTGCCTGAAAAATATTTGAGTCAGATTTAAAACAAGTTGCACCATCTTGAAATCTTTGAAACATTTCTGACATGTCTCTACTAACAGCAAATTGGTTTTTAAAAAGTATCAAATTTGAAACCATTGTGTTAAACAAAGTTAAAAATAAGTCTTCTTGTGGTGTTCTTTCCAAAGACTTTAATCCTTCAAAATCAAGTGCAACATAAATAATTTCTTTTGTTATAACTAATGACATCCACACTCCTTCAGTGCATCTCATTGCAGAACCATCAAATGTTGTTCCAACAAGGTGATTCAACATATATGATTTTCCACATGATTGCTCACCCATACTTGAAACAATTTTAACTTGTCTATTACCAAAATGTTTAAATATACCTTCATACCACCCAAGTGAAATATTTTCTGCAATACCATCAAAGCGACATCCATGTTCAACATCAAAATCTATATCATGCTCATTTGAAGATAAACCATCCCGAAGTGGTTGAAATTGATTATTTTTAGCAACTGCAATCTGAATTGGTATTAAACATGAAAGTTGAATTACAAAATCTCCTAACTGATATTTATTTGAATGTTTTGATATAAAATTATTTTCTTCAATGTCTAGATCTGAAAATGTTGTAACAGTAGTTTTAAAATGCTTTAAAATAGATGCAGGTTTTTTTGTTTTCTTCTTTAATTCATTGAACATGCTAACAACATATTTTTCAAACTTTCTATCATAATTTCCATCTTTACAATCATCATTTATATCAAGGACAATTTTCAAATTAAGTGGCCGATTTTGTTCAGGATCTATGCAACTCTCAATTGGATACTTTTCAAACATTAATTTATATGCATCTATAAAACCATTAAGTTTTAACTTAGGTTCAATTTGAAAGTCAATCCATGTATCATCATCAAGTGACAAAGTCTGATATACACCTGCAACCTTCAATTCAGTATTTGAAATTACATCAACAACACTTAATTTTTCTTTTTCAATAACAATATATTCTCCTTTATGCACTGCATGTTTAAAACTAGTGTTTTTTCCTTTTAAACATGAATAATAATTATTGTTAGAATCAGTGAAAATTCTCAGCAATTTAACTTGACCAACTAGCTTTCCTTGGTTACACTGTTGAAATCTGTACTGGGTTTTTTCAAGTGTAATCTTTGTAACTAATGAAAGAAATAAATTATTTTTTATATCAATTGTTGTAAGATGTATTTGGCGATTATTTATAGATGAAAATTGAAGTAATTCTATTGGATTCATATTTGGAGGTAGTTCAACAACTTTATTTGAATTAAAAAAATTTTTAATATGTTAAATGAAAATAATTAATAAAAACATTCAAAATAAATTAGCTCAATTTACCTTTATTAGCAGTGTTTCCCATGTTAGAACAAAAATAAACATAGGCTTTAAACACATCACTTGGAGTATTCTTTGACTCCTTTTGTTTTTCCAAACATTCATCATCATATAACTCATCTTTTTTATCATCATATTCTTTGTCATTATATTCTTTGTCATCATTTCTTTTGTCATCATCATCTTCATCATCTTCATCATCTTCATCATCTTCATCATCTTCATCATCTTTGTCATCTTCATCATCTTTGTCATCTTTGTCATCTTTGTCATCTTCATCATCTTCATCATCTTTGTCATTTTTTTCACCTGTGCCATTTTCATCATTATTAGATGCTGTTGATTTTTCTTTTCCAAACACTACAATACAAGAACCATCAGGTGTGCTTGACATGTTTATAGAGTCTGGAGGAAATTGTAGTGTTGCAGGACGAAATTGACCAGTCACAAGGTTATAAATTTTTGTTTTACCATTAGTTTCTACAAAACATAATTCTTCAGTAGTTTTTATGAAGAAAAAGTGTTTAATATCTGGTGCTGAATTATTATAATATTGTAGAATTTGAATATTGGGGTTGCGACTATAAAGACTGGCTTGATTTTCATCAAATGCATAAACATTTAGCTAAAGATTTTTGGTTTGTGAAAAATAATAATAAGTTATATATATTACTTACAATTAATTATTATAATGGATAAATACAAAAAAAATAAATAAATCAATTTACCATTCCTTTCTCAGCAACATAAATTCCAATTAAACCTTTGGGCTCATTTATAGCAAAAAGACAATCACCATCAGGATTTAATGTTTTTAGTGGTTTTAAATTTGATAATTGAAAAACTGATTTTAAGCGATTAGAATTTTCAAAAAAACATTCTACTTGATTTGATTTTTTATTCTGAAGTATTATTAGGAACTTTCCATTTTCAAATTGAGATATTTTTCTAAAAAATATTGCATTATTAATTTAATTCTGTGATTAATATCAAGAATATTGAATAATTGATTACCTGAGTTCATATTTTTCTGGATCTATTTTGAAGGAAGCATGTGAATTTTTATCATTGTCAAGATGAAGTTTTGGAACATATTGCTCATCTTTTTGAATATTTGAGTTTTCAGACTCTTCTAAACGTGTTTCATACAATGTGATATTTAGTTGATCAGGTTGTATTGACTCAATTTCATAAGTAAGTTTTAAATCCTTATAAAATGTTGTTTCTAATTAACAAGCCAATTATGTTAACAGACAAGAAAATATTAAAGCACTTGATTCATGCAGAGCTTTAGAAAATAGATATTTAAATTAGAATTACCTTCTATTTTTAATAATTTAAAAGTTGGGCTGTCAAATTAAAAATTAAAAAATTAAAAATTAAAAGATTATTTATAATACAAATAAATCATTTTAAATTATATTTTAATTACCCTTTTGAAAATTTTTCTTCAAGTATTGAACAAATTCTTTTAAATTCATGCTCTTCGATTTTTTTAGTGTCCTGTAAACTTTCTTTCATTAGATTTTCTTCATATTGATCCTTAATATCTGCATATTTTGGTATAATATCTTTAATATTACTAGAATATTGTGTACTCCTCCAATTTTGGTATTCTCCAAAAAATTTGCTAATAACTATTTCCCCCGTTTCTTGGGTCATATTAAATAACTCAAAATCATTAAGTTGTTTAACAAATTTAGAGTCAGGAATTTCATTTGCCATTTGGGTTGCTTTTTTAATATTCCTTTCAATAACATGAGATTCAATGACAATGGGTTGAATAGTGTGAGAATCATCTTCATTAGAACTAGATCTCTTAAACATACTACTAAAAAATGATTGAACAGTTGAAAAAAGATTTTTCTCCTGTGAAATGACTGTGTATTTTTTTGTTAATTTAACATAATCTTTTTCTTCATCAAGAAACATTTTTAAAAAAAAATCTGAAATTAATTTTTCACATTCATTTGAATCAGAATTATCTTTTTTGTTAGAGTTGTCATTTGTTTCCAACTTTTCATTTGAATCAGGAATATCATTTGAATCTTGATCATTATTTAAATTTGAATTGCTGCCCAACTCTAAATTATCATTTTTTGGCATATTAAATATCTCCGTAGTTATAAATGAACAGGATAGGAATCTCTTTTTCCAAGATTTCCATGATTTTGAGTTTATTACAATAGCTTTTTCTATTTTTTGATTTATATCTGAATATTTTTCATAAACTTCTTTGATTTCTATTTACAATTAATAAGTATATAGCTGTTAAATAGGATCTAGTTATATTTATTATTTAAGAAGATTGTAACTTACTTGAATCATTAAATTTGGGTACTGTATTATCATCATTAATAATAACTTCAAATTTACTGTTAAAAAGTAATAAAAGGTCAAAATTATTCAATGATATAATTAATTGATTTAAAATGTCATTTATACCTGTAAGATTCTTTTAATTTCATCCAGGCCATGTTTGTTATGATTTCTGCATGCCCTTTAATTTCTTCGTTTTTATTTTGTTTTTCTTTATTAAATGTTGAGTTTATAACTTTCAATGAATCATCATATGGTTTTAATAAATCTTTTTCCTCATCAAGACAAACTTCAATAAATATTTTTAGTGATTTCATGTCTATAGAATCTTCTATTTTGAGGGAATGGCCTTTAATAAGATCTTTAAATGATCTATCTTTAAATGATCTATCTTTAAATGATCTATTATTATTAGCATAATTTGGAAAAAACTTTGTATGACTTCGCATATTTGGGGTTGATTTGATAATATTTTGAGTGATAAATGCTTGATGTGATACAGACTCAACAACTATTTTTAAAAATTTTTTAAGTTAATGGAATTGAAAGTATGCAAGTGGTAAAACAGAATAATGATAATACCAATAGGTTGCAATAAAATCTTATTATGATGAATAATTTCAAGGTCAGGTTGAATAGAATTTGGTAGTTGAATCTAACATTTTTGTGACATTATAATAATACAAGGAGTAAGTAAATGTAATTAATAAATTATAAATATAAAGAAATCTTCTAACCTTAAAGCCCTCGTGTAACTGGAAGTCTTCTTTTTCTTCTTGGCTTTCTTTGACTTCAAATTCATAGCATGCATCATCATCATCATCATCATCATCATCATCATCATCATCATCATTTTCATTGTCAACATCATCATCACTATTGTCATCATCATAGTTGTCATCCCTTTCATTTCCTATTTCCCATTCAAAAGATTTTAAATCATTTTTACTCATTAAACATATCTGGTGATCAGTCAATTTTGTGAGATACCTATAATAAATATAATTTTTTAGTCATTAATTATAATATGATAGGTGAATAAAAATTTTTAAATAAATTTTATTTACCTATGAAAGTTAACCATATTTTTTTTTAGTTGATCAGTTGCATTATCTTCATAACAACCAGGTTCAGGCCAATGAATTACTAGACCTAAATTAACATTCACAATCAACAAATAAATTCCTGAATGAAGAGAAGGGCTCCCAGTTTTATTTGAAGATACAAGCAATTCATACCTAAAATTTATATATTTGTGTTAATTGTCAACAATTAAAGGATTCATGGTTAAAAGAAACAATGATTCAATTTACATTTTTCGGTTAATAATTTTTTTAATTAATAACAGCTTTGCAATCAATTCATAGTTCCCATAACACCCAACAAGATGGAATGATACTCTATTTAGTTCTGTATATTTAATATCTGATGCGGATTTAAAGCTACTAGGAGCCAAGTCATTACAAAACTTTTCCAATGATTCCTTTGATATAATTATTTTGTTAACTAAAAAAAGAAAGTCGATCAATAAACTCGAAAGTCTCACATGATATTGACAAATCACATGATTAACTAATGTTGACACATACCAAGACCATTTGATCCTTCATCTTTTTTTAAATCTAACAAAAGATATAATCCCGGAATATAATCCAAAAGATTTTGTCCACTTCTAATATTATCATTTGGATTATTGTAGGAATTTTCACGCTTGGAGATTATCTTTAAAATATCTTCCTTAGTTTTTTTGAGGTCATCTAATGTTTTATTTTTATTTTTAGACTCGTTATTAGACAAATCATCCGAGCTTTCTGAATCATTGTGTTCAGGGACTTTTGAATCGCCAAGGGAAGACAAATTTTCATCTTTATCAGATAAATTTTTATTGATATTTGCACCAAGATTTTTTAGAATTGCATTTTCTTCGACAGATGACAATAAGTGGTCTTTTTGTTGATTAGGTTCAAACGAATCATTCAAATCTTCTGTCTCAGAGATTTTCGAATTATCAAGTGTAGGAAAATTGTTATCGTGATCAAAGAATGTTTTTGATTGATCTAATTTTGTCTTGTCTTTGTCAAAAAAATTTTTGTCCATATTGTCGTTAGGGCCTTTTAAACCAGCATTTTCTTCGACGAAAGATTGATTATTTGTTTCAATGGAGTAAATAGAATCATCAAACGTGCCAAAACCCACATTCGTAGCACTACTATCAACATCATGACCATTTGTTGTTTGGGAAGAAGTAGATGAATCATTGTATTGATCAGATGAAGAGCCGATAGCTCTTGAGGAATCATCATTAGACACGTTAGAAGAAATAGTTGGTCCAGGCGAGACTGGAGAATTGGTAGAGTTACCTGGTTTTGTAAAAACCCCGATTTAACGCGTTAATTTGTATTGCTATAGGGCAAGAAGTTACTTTCAAAAAGATTTTACTTACTACTATTTTCTGATATTTCGGGACGAATTTGCATTTTTAATTATTTTGAATTCTGAAACCAATAGTAAGTATTTTATTTGGTTAAAAGATAATGAAATAAAAAATTAATCTTTAAATATTTGTGAAAACTCCCATTCTTTCCAAATAAAGAAAAGATTGCCGGCAGAGAAATAAACAAGAGAGATAATAAGAATCTGTCATTGAGGACAAATTTGGGGAAACAAAAGTTTAGCGTGTAACATTCTTATTGAACCATAGATAGATGGTTTTAATTTACGCGAGTTAGAATTGACAAGTTTTTATTTTTCCAACAAATTAATATTGTTATTTTTATAAAAAAAATGCCCAAATTCGTCAAAAGAAATCATCATCATATGTTGAAAATCATACTTGATGGCTAAAAAACAACCAACAAATCATTATGTTTCTTTGCCGTATTATGAATTTAAATATTAGATTATTTATCGAATCTGTTTAACACTAATGATAGTAAATTTTGAGAATAATCATTAACAGTCGCTTTATCACTACTATCATCATCATCACAATCACAAGTATGCAAATTATACGGGTAATGACGATTGGTTTGTTTTTAATGAGCCTGAATTTTTGTTGTCAATCCAACTAAGAAATAAAGTGCAAAACGGTATAGTTTTGGAACGATAGAAGGTGCAAATTTAGTCAACGTCACAAACAGTATTCTAATAAAATGAATGATAATAAAATCTCAAACCTATAACTTCATATTTGAAATAAACCATTTTTAAATTACAATCTGATTTTAAATCATCAATCCCACTATTGCCATTTGAATAATCAATTATTAATAGTGAGCTTGTTAATGAAATTAAAATGATGACCGATCAACTCGATAAGTCAGTCATCAAGTACAGTCGAACTCGTTAAACTAGTGTGCTTGTTTTGGGCTCAAAACATCGTTTTATCCAACATTCGTTTTATTGAGTGGTCTTCGATAAAATGAAGTTAATGTATTTTTTTAAAAAAAATTCGGTTTAAAGAGTTATACATACATTAAAATTTACATATTCGTTTATGCTACATTGAAGAACAATATGTACTACTGCAAATCATTTATAAAATAAAGCAAAGTTTCCTTCGATAAACCGTATTATTCGTCTTATCGAGTTGTATTTAATACCGTCTTAAACATTTAAGTGAACAATAGGAATATTCGTCTTATCGAGTTGATTTTATTAATTAGGGGAACTAGAAAAACTTCGTTATAACAAAAATTCGTTTTATCGAGTCACGTCTTATCGAGTTCCGACTGTATTAGGAATTTTAAAGTAATATTTCCTGTGTAGATATGATATTCAAACTTGAATTATTCATTCGATTCGAATCAAATTAATCGCAAAATATTCGTTTGATTTGAATACTTTAAAAAATTATGATATGCGGGTCACATGATAAACAATCAGCAACTAAAGTGAGAAGTATAAAATCAACCAATGAAATTCAAGGATTAGGTTATCGCCTAACAAAATACATTACTGCGTTAGGGTTGGGAAAGCAGAATCAATGGGATACATGTGCTGTCTGTATTGCTTTGTATTAAAACTCAGATCAAAGGAGTTACAAAAAAAGCTTTGTTAATAAAAAACAAGTCAATAAATGTTTGAATAATTGTAAGCATTTCTGAATGAAAGTCAAAATTTTGATAATAATTCTGTATATATGGAAATGGCGATAATGACATTACAGCTACAGAATAATTAGAATGAATAAAAAAAATTTTTTAATTGAGGAAGGAGTAGCACGTATCGAAGACAATGAATGAATTGAGCGATAAATTGGACGGTTTAAAAGAAGTTTCACGTAATAATAAACTTAAAGGTATGTGTGATCATTTACTTAGTACTTGAATCATAATATATTATATTAGCATGATCTGATTATTTGTTGCTTTGGAAAAACACATGTTACAAAGCACTCATGTTATAATGACACTCCGTGCAAGCAAAAAATGTCAGCATAATAATAACAACAATAATAACGAAATTGTCATTATAACGGAAATTCATGTTAGAATCATTATCGTGTGATATTATAATATTAATTATTTTTGAAAATAAAAATCCAAACTAATTTGTTTAGCCTCTATAAAATTCTGATTTATTATTTTTTTTTTTAATTCATAGTAATCCGCCACTATAAACTTTGGTTCTTGTTCTTGTTATATATAAGTAAGAAGATTTACACAACTTTTTAATGCATAACATTTTTCTCCTCTTCTTCCTAAAGTTGGCACCGTAATGTAAAATTACGGTATTACTGGTGTTGCAACTAATCGCAATGTTGTTATAAACATTTATATGGGGCGCTCTAGGAAAGCCGGTTTCGAGTAATATATACAAAAAATTTTTTTTGTGCAAACGATTGATTAAATTTGTGAAAATTGTTTTTATATACGATTCCTGTAATATTGATTAATAAAGCATGTATTCATTCACCTTTAAAATTTAAATTTTATAGAAAGGTTAAAATTATAATAAAAATTATGAATTAGTAACACTCAATGGGGTCACCGTGACTATTAAGTTTATTAATTATTTATTGTTATGAAATATGAGTTTATGGACATTTTTAAATTTGATTCAAAGAAAATTTTGGTTGCCCCAAGAATTTATTTTTGTACCAAGTAAACAGCGTCTAATTTTTTTATCAATTACAATCATGATGTTATAGTTTAATATTATGTAAAAAAATTTTTTTGATCAAAAAGTCTCGAAACTCGGTTTTCCTAGAGCGTCCCTCATATTCAAATAAAAGGTAGATCACGATTTTTCAATTCCTTTTCACCCACAAGTATGTTTAAAACCATTTATTTTTCATATTTTTCTTATAATAATTAAAGATGAATTTTGATACCGATAACAAAAAAAAAACTTGGTCCAAAATATAGTGATATTAATATCTGGAATATTTTACACGTGGTAACATCTTGGTAATGGACATTACTAAACTACGTGTTTGTCATTTTTTAAAGATGCCCGACCGTATCAAATGTTTTATAGGACAATATAAATAAAAAATTGGTCAACTGCATCGTGATTATGTTGCAACACTATGTATAGTTTTTATGTAATATGTAAAGTTGCGAGTATGTTGCAACATTTGGTATTTGATTACAGATGACAAACTTGCTTCTTCCTCTTCTTCTTTATTTAAACCAACAGCAATAATTTCTTCTAATCCTGGCATTGATTCAATTTCGCAAGTATTATCACAATTAATATAGTCTTCTATTGTTATCGATCCTTTATAATATTCATTCATTATATTTTGCAACTCTAATTCAGCATTAACCTCACTATTTTCATAATTAATATAATCATCTCAATTACCAACTTTTTTCCAAGAATTAATAGTGGTTTCGCTTTTAACTAATCAATATTTTATTGATTACTTAATCATGATTTTTCAAAAATGATGTACTGACATGTCATTATAACGGGTGTCATACAACGAGATAAAAAATTTTTTTTTGACAAATTATGTCATTATAACGGGATAAATAACGAGTGCCATTATAACAGACGTAAATTTATATTAGTAAATTTGTTTTTTTAAAGAAATGCCATTATAACGAATGTCATTATAACGGGAACTATTACTATATATATCAAATATACTATGTGTCATAGTAATAGTAATAGTAATAGTAAAAAATATGTACAATGAATCATATTTTCAGAACTTTTGATTCGACATAATGGAGGAAAACGTAAATGAGTTATTTGTCAAATTAACATGTCTAAAGCTTGCTGAGCTTGCCGGTATTATTACTACTGACATCGTTATTATTATTATTATTATTATTATCTAATATTATATCCCCTAAATCGCCACCATTATTACTATTTAATGGTTCACTATTACTAGGGTTTCTACTCGAATAAGGTTTATTCGAAATACATTAAAAATTTATTCGAATAAAACGAATAAAACGAATAATTCGAACTAAGATTGAGGTTTATTAAATGTATAAAACTCTAACTATTACCATTGCTTTCTTTATTAATAATTTTTTATCCTGTTACGAGTATTGTATGTTTTTTCTTTTGTCATTCTAAGTGATGCAGATGGACCCATTTCAACTAAGTGTCTATGACACTGAATTCTGCTCTAAAATTCCAGGCGTAAAAATGAGTATCATCTTAGCGGCTCACACCTAGTGATGTTAGCCGATGTAAAAACCTTAGCTGGCTAGGAACTTAATAAATCCCAGTTGACAAAAAACCTTTTCAGATGGTACTAAGCTTGCAAGTATTATTATTATTACTACTACTATCTTTATTATTATTATTATTATTATTATTATTTACTATTGTTATTATAATATCTCGCCTTTGATGGTTTAAATAATGTGTTTTATTCGTTATGAATTTGAGTATTTGAATTACATTGAAAGTTTTATTTGAATAAGCGAATAAAATGAAATTTAACGAATAATTTAAATATCGAATAGAACGAATAATAATAATTCGAATAGAACGAATAATAATAATTCGAATAGAACGAATAATAATAATTCAAATAGTTTGAATAAAACGAATAGTTCCAATAAAACGAATAAAGCGAATAGAACGAATAATTCAAATAAAACGAATAATAATAATAATAATAATTCGACTCTATGATATGATGTATTTTATTTTGCTTTTTGAATAAATGTATGATTTTTTTTGTCATTATAAGTAGTATAGGTGGACCCATCTCAACTAAATGTCTTGCCATTGAATTCTGCACTAAAACTTCGAGAGAAATTTTTTTTAGCCGGCTGACATCGCTACTCACACCACTAATTATAATTACAAGTACAATGGGTATTGCAAAGAGGATAATAAGTCAAATAAAAAAGACAACATTATTCATCAAGGACATCAATTAACTACCAAGAAAAAAAATAAAAAGTTTATATGGTCGGTGTAATATGTGAAGGCTATTGAATGAATAAAACCAAAAAAACAAGCGAAATAATGAGACATTCATTACAATTTCTCAATAATAATAATAATAATAATGGCATTATTTAACATTTCATGCCATCAAGATTATGGCCCATGATCTGTGACCATAAAAATTGGTATGTTCAAAGAATTTTTTTTAAATTGTTGAAAGCAAGCTTTTATTACCAGCCAGGTAAGAAAAGGCATTTGCTTGATAAATTAATATTAATATAAATTACAACTTTAGGTAAATAAAGCTTATGATATTTAAGAACTAATTCTTTTAAATATAAATATATTTTTTATTTAATCAATTTGTCAATAACCTTTTTTAAAAATATTTTTTCATTAAAGAAGGTTTGTGTTTTCTTAAACTTTCTGCAACATTAGTAAAATGAATAGCTAAAGCTATTTCATCAATAGTTTTAGTGAATTGACATTTTAAAGATTGGGGTGAGGAAGTAACTGGAAGATACTTTTGTGCAATATTAACCATCCTTGCTAATAATGATGGACCACTGTCAAAAATCCTTGCAAATTGGCTATTAGAATCACTGCCAAATAAAATTGTATAAAGATATAACAACGACCTATTAAATTAGTAAAAAAAAAATTTTTTTTAAATTATAATTATTTTACTTTATTAATTATACATAAACAATATAAATTAAATTACATACCCTCTTTGTTGATTGACTCTACAAATATTTTCTAATCGAGCATCTGGTGATCCACCTTCACCATCCGACAAAAATATAATAATATTTGTCCTTGAAATATTTAAACCAAACAGTTAAGTATATTATATTTAAACAATTTTAAATCAATCAAATGGATATGAATTTAAATTACTTTGTTGGATCATAATATTTATCAATCAGGAACCCTGCTTTCTGTATTGCTAAATCAAAGTTAGTTCCATCACTTGCACTATGCTCAATCATAATATCTAAAAATTTGTTTAGATCGCTTAATGGTTGATTTTCAATTGGTACAATAGTACTACTGTTGAACAAGATTAAAGAAATAGTGTCTTTATTAATGACACCCCGAGTTAGATTCCTTTGAGTTGCAAGGCGTGTTTCCATAAATGAATAAACCTTAATTGATAATTAGTTAGAAAAAAGATAAATTTGTTAAAACAATAACACAAAATTAAATAATTACTGCCGAGTATACTGCGCCTAGCCTATTATCATGTCTTTGTGCAATTTTTTCACGGATGTCTGAACGAATGTTTTCTAAAGGTTTTCTATCAGTATAACTCATTGAAGATGATCGATCAAGTGCAAAAATAATATGAAATGCTGCTTCATTTTTATTTGGATTATCACAGCTGAACTGATGACCATCCAGTGAAATGTAACCACCACCAGTTGATGTCCTAGATGATTGATCTAAAGGTTTATGGAAAATTTCCAATTCACAATAAGATTTTGTGGGAGTTGCACTATTAGAGCTTTGTTGCTTATTGTGAGCTTCATCTGGACATTCATGATCACATTTTGCAAATTCTGCTTGTTCTTGTGCTGAATATGGATCTTTAAAGCCTGTTCTTTCCCAAAATATTTTATGAGTTACATAATCTTTTTTATCATCAGGATTGGGTTTGATGGGTGCTGATTATTTTAAATAAATAATATTAGATTTTATAAAAATTTTCAACAAATAAAATAAAAATATTAAATACCATCTATATGCATTATTTCTTGCCCTTGGTGTCCATTTTTGCATGCCTCCACATTTTGACAATAATCAATATGTCTATGGCGACCTAATTCTTTACAATAAAAATTACAAAGAACAAAAGAACCTTGATCTCCAATTTGTAATTTATGTCCCTTATATTCAAATACATTATCATTCTCAGCAGTAAATTCTGTTAATACCATATTCCCATGGGTAGTCTCATGTAAAGTTTGTGTATGTCCATGAGGCAAGTTGCAATAATATTCACAAAATTGACATTTTTCATCACAAAAATGAGACCCATCATGTGAATGTGTTCCTTCATGCTTGAAGGAATTTGGTGGTATTCTTTTATTACACCTCATCCTTTCACTTTGTTGAATATATTTAAAAAAGCTAATTGAAGTTTCTTTAATCAATCCATTGTAAGTTGCTTCTTCTTTTTTTGGTTCAGTTAAAATTTTACAAATGCCTGGTTCTTGACATTTTTCAAGACATTGATGTTCATTACCACAAAAATGATTAACTGTAGATTCACTACTGTAAGCATGAAAATGATTATTACTTTGGCATCTTTTCTGACAATCTGAAATTGGGCATTCAATTGGACATGTCTCATTTTCACAACGATGTTGATCATGCTCAAGCTCACATGGCATAATGCATTTGTTTGGACATTCATAATTACCTTTTTTAGTTGATGTAAAGAGTGAGCATGGCTCTCCACAATAATGACGCTTTGATTGACACATGTGTTCATCATCTTTATGTCCAATATCTTTTGAACATACTTTTTGACAATTACGTTTATCACTAAGGTTACAAGGTTTTCCACATAAATGGCTGGCTTTATTACATGCATGTTTTCCATCATGTCCTGCTTTATAACTACACATTGGAATAACAGAACTATGTGCTTCTACAAATTGACAAGAAAAGTGACATTCATGATTAGTCTTGCAGTCATGTTTGTCAGTATGATCATGATTTTTAAGACAGTGTAATCCACAATCTTGACAAGAAAGACTACATAATGTCCAAAAATGCATAAGCTTGTCAATCTCTTTTTCAAGAGCATATTTTCCAATAACAACTTCACTATTGTCTTGTGGAAACTTGCTAATATTTTCAGAAAACCATTCCTCAACACGATATATTCTTCGTTCAACAAGAAATCTGAAAAATAATTGTAACTTTTTAAACCATTCTGAATCATTTTCAGAGCATTTTCTTTTTTGAATATTTTCTTCAAAGTGAGTTCTTAAATCGGATGAAAAATTAATAAAATCAACATTTTCTTCAAAGAGTAAAACATCTGAATCTGGAAATATTTGATTCTGTGTATTGAATGTTTCTGCAAATTTAGATAAATGAGGTTGATCATCTATTTCTTCTCCTGTATCATGATTTAATAAAGGTCTAATTTCTTGTTCCTTTTGCTCCAAGCCATAAGATATAACTACTGGAAGTATTCTTTTTAAAATTGATAAACGCATTTGAACAAGGTTTTCATCCAAAGATCCCCAATCACAAATTTTTAATTTGGCCATAATGACTTTAGTGTTTTGTAAAAAAGTTTGTCCATTTTTATATTTTGTTTTCTGATTATCCAACTTTGTTTTGACAGTTTTCAAAGTTTTGAACCAAGCAAGATCATTAAATAATGGCCATGGTAAAATATTTAATCCACTTTTATACATTCTGGTAATAAAATTATCTTCTCCTTGATCTCTAACCAAGTCATCAAATTTCAAACGAAACTCTTTAACAATTCCTTTTCGATCATTTTCATGAACATCTTTAATTATGATGCAAAGGGTTGCTTGAAAAACATTTGGGTCAGATTTAAAAAAAGTTGCTCCATCTTGAAATCTTTGGAACATTTCTGACATGTCTCTACTAACAGTAAATTGGGTTTTAAAAAGTACCATGTTTGAAACCATTGTGTTAAATAAAGTTAAAAATAAGTCTTCTTGTGGTGTTCTTTCCAAAGACTTTAATCCTTCAAAATCAAGTGCAACATAAATAATTTCTTTTGTTATAACTAAAGACATCCACACTCCTTCAGTGCATCTCATTGCAGAACCATCAAATGTTGTTCCAAGAAGGTGATTCAACATATATGATTTTCCACATGATTGCTCACCCATACTTGAAACAACTTTAACTTGTCTATTACCAAAATGTTTAAAAATACCTTCATACCATCCAAGAGAAATACTTTCTGCAATACTGTCAAAGCGACATCCATGTTCAACATCAAAATCTATATCATGCTCATTTGAAGATAAACCATCTCGAAGTGGTTGAAATTGATTATTTTTAGCAACTGCAATCTGGATGGGTATTAAACATGAAAGTTGGATTACAAAATTTCCTAGCTGATATTTATTTGAATGTTTTGATATAAAATCATTTTCTTCAATGTCTAGTTCTGAAAATATTGTAACAGTAGTTTTAAAACTCTTTAAAATAGATGCAGGTTTTTTTGTTTTTTTCTTTAATTTATTGAACATGCTAACAACATATTTTTCAAACTTTCTATCATAATTTTCATCTTTACAATCATCATTTATATCAAGGACAATTTTCAAATTAAGTGGTTGGTTTGGTTCAGGATCAATGCAAGTTTCAATTGGATACTTTTCAAACATTAATTTATATGCATCTATAAAATCATTAAGTTTTATCTTAGGTTCAATTTGAAAGTCAATCCATGTATCATCATCAAGTGATAAGGTCTGATATATGCCTGCAACCTTCAATTCAGTGTTTGAAATTACATCAACAACACTTAATTTTTCTTTCTTAATAACAATGTATTCTCCTTTCTGTACTTTGTGTTTAAAATTAGTGTTTTTTCCTTTTAAATTTGAATACCTATTATTGTCAGAATCAGTGATAATTCCTTGCAATTTAATTTGTCCAATTGATTTTCTTTGATTACATTCTTGAAATCTGTAATTTGTTTTTTCAAGTGTAATCTTTGTAATTAATGAATGAAATAAATTTTTTTCTACATTAATTGTTGAAAGATGCAATTGATGATTATTTATAAATGAAAATTGAAAGAATTGTGGTGAATTCATATTTGAAGGTAGCTCAACAACTTTATTTGTATCAGAAAATAATCATAATAATGGATATGTTAGATGTGAATAATTAATCAATTAAAAATGGATTACTCAACTTACTTTTCTTACTTTTATTAGCAGTACTTCCTAAATTTGAACAAAAATAAACATGGGCTTTAAATATATCATCTTCATTTGATACTGCTTGTAAACTTTTGATTGATTTTTCTTTTACAAACACTACAATACAAGAACCATCAGGTGTACTTGATATGTTTATAGAATATGGAGGAAATTTCAGTGTTTCATGACGAAATCGACCAGTCACAAGATTATAAATTTTTGCTTTATCATTAGTTTCCACAAAACATAATTCTTCAGTAGTTTTTATAAAGAAAAAATGTTTAATATCTGGTGCTGAATTATTATAATATTGTAGAATTTGAATATTGGGGTTACGACCATAAAGATTGATTTGATTTTCATCAAATGCATAAACATTTAGCTAAAATTTTTTTGTTTGTGAAAATAATATATATTACTTACAATTAATCATTATAATGGATAAATACAAAAAAAATAAAATAAATCAATTTACCACTCCTTTTTCAGCAACATAAATTCCAATTAAGCCTTTAGGCTCATTTATAGCAAAAAGACAATCACCATCAGGATTTAATGTTTTTAGTGGTTTTAAATTTGATAATTGAAAAGCTGATTTTAAGCGATTAGAATTTTCAAAAAAAATTTCTATTTGATTTGATTTTTTATTCTGAAGTATTATTAGGAACTTTCCATTTTCAAATTGAGATATTTTTCTAAAAAAATATTGCATTATTAATTTAATTCTGTGATTAATATCAAGAATATTGAATAATTGATTACCTGAGTTCATATCTTTCTGGATCTATTTTGAAGGAAGTATGCTTATTGCTGTCAAGATGAAGTTTTGGAACATATAACTCATTTTCTTGAATATTTGAGTTTTCAGACTCTTCTAAGCGTGTTTCATATAATGTGATATTTAGGTGATCAGGTTGTATTGAATCAATTTCATAAGTAAGTTTTAAATTCTTACAAAATATTTTTCCTAATTAAAGGTAAATTTTTGTTAATAAGTTATAATCACAACAAAAAGATCAACAACTTAATTAGAATTACCTTCAGCTTCTATAATTTTAAAAGTTGGTCTGTAATTTAAAAATAAAGATATTAATAATAAAACTTTTATAGCATAAAAATCATTTAAAAGTAATTTAATTACCCATCTGGGAATTTTTCTTCAAGTAATAGGCAAACCCTTGTGAATTCTTGTTTTTCTATTACTTTAATTTTTTGTGATAATTCCTTGCTTAATTCTTCTTCATAATATGTTTTAACATTTGTATATTTTGGTACTATATTTTTGACATTTTCAGAAAAGGTTTCCCTCCATTTTTTAAAGTTTTTAAGAAAAGAATCAATGATTAGATTATTCTTTTCTTGTGAAATATTAAATATTTTAAAATTAGAAATACTAGTTGATTTAAAATCATAAAGTTCATTAACAAATTTAGAGTCGGGTAAATTATTTGCTATTTGTTTAGCTTCTTGAATACTACGCTCAATAAAATGAGGTTCAATGTCATGAGATTCAGAATTTGGTCCAGTAGTAATAGATGCTAAGGATTTTTCTGCATGTTTATTTACTAATTTAGTAAGATCTGTTTCTTCTTTATCAGCAAATGTATTGTAAAAAAATTCAGAAAAACAGCTTTCCACTTTATTTGAGTCAGGGTTGTCTTTTGAATTAGTGTTATCAAACATTTCAATAGTCATAAGTGAACAAAATTGAAATTTCTCTTTCAAAGATTTCCAGGGGTTTGATTTTATTAGAATAGATTCCTCTATTTTTTTATTTATATCAGGATATTTCTCATGGATTTCTTTGATTTCTATTTAGAATTAATAAATATCAAAAAGAATACATCATTTGTTAAATAAGATTTAAGCAACAATAATAATTCAAAAAATTTATAATTACTTGATTCTTCAAATTTGGGTACTGTATTATCATCTTTAATAGTTTCTTCAAATTTGCTATATATCAATCAATAAAAGTTAAAGGTCATCTAAAAATTAAAAAAAAATTTTTTAAGCAAGATTTATACCTGTAAGTTTCTTTTAATTTCATCCATGCCATGTTTGTGATAATTTCTGCATCTCTTCCAATTTCCTCCTTTATATTTTCTTTTTTCCTGCTTATTCTTTCTTTTTCAGCTTTTACAGAATCTTCATAAGATGTTAATAGCTCCTTCTCATCATCTAGGCAAAATTCAATAAACTTTTTTAATAATGACATGTCCATGGAATTTTTTTCAATCTTGAGGGAATATCCTTTAATATATTCTTTAAATGGATGGTGACTTTTTGAAAAAATTGCTGAATATCTTTTCATTACTGAGGATGATTTGATAATATTTTGAGTGATAAATGCTTGATGTGACACAGATTCAACAACTATTTAAGTAAAAAACATAAGCTAATGGAATTGAAGGTATTTAAAGAATTCAAACAGAATAATGATAATACCAGTAGGTTGCATAGAGGTTCCATTATGATGAATGATCTTAAGGTCTGGTTGAATGTAATTTGGTAGTTGGACCTAATATGTTTATTGATAAATTAATCTAACAAATAAATTCATAAATATAAAGTAACTTTCTAACCTTAAAGCCCTCATGCAACTGGAAATCCTCTTTTTCTTCTTGACTTTCTTTGACTTCAAATTCATAACATGTCTCATCCTTTTCATTGTCTATATCATTATCATAGAAACTATTACCATCTTTTCTAGTTTTCCATTCAAAACAGGTTAAATCGCTGTTGCTCATTAAACATATCTGATAATCAGTCAGTTTTGTGAGATACCTATAATATTTTAATTTTTTTCAAGACATTATTATAGAATAGATAAATAGGTATAAAAAAATTTTTTATTACCTGTGGAAATTAATCATATTTTTTTTAAGTTCTTCAGATGCATTATCTTCATAACAACCATGCTCAGGCCAATGAATTACTAAACCAAAATTAACATTCACAATCAACAAATATATTCCTGAACAAAGAGAAGGATTCTCAGATTTATTTGAAGATACAAGCAGATCATATCTAAATTAGACAAAGATGTTAATCATGAACAATAAAAAAATTACAGATGAAAAATGAATTAAATTCAACTTACACTTTTTGGTTAATAATTTCTTTGGTTAATAACAGCTTTGCAATCAATTCATAGTTCCCATAGCAGCCAACAAGATTGAATGAGACTCTATTCAATTTCGAATAATTAATATTTGAAACAGATTTAAAGCTTTTGGGAACCAATTCATTACAAAGCTTTTCTAACGATTCCTTTGATATGATTGTTTTGTTAACTAAAAAAAAAAGTTATGTTGATCAATATATCACATGATTTTGACAAGCCACATTGTCAATTCCTACGAATAATTAAAGATATATACCAAGACCATTTGATCCTTCATCTTTTTCTAGACTCAACAGTAGATACAATCCTGGAATATAATCTAAAAGATCTTGTTCCTTTTTAATATCCTTATTCAAACTAGCATATAAATTTTCACGTTTTGTAAATATCTCCAAAATTTTTTCCTTGTTCTTTTTATGACCATCTGATGTTCTGGTATTGGTGGATGATTTAATGGGATTGGTCACAGCTACCAAACTTTCTGCATCAGGAATTTTTGATGTGAACGAATTTGTATTTTTTTCATGATCAAAATTTGTCTCATCTTTATCAAAACTAAGGTTTTTTGAAGCAGAACTTTTCTTGATAAAAAGACCAGACGATTCATCCGAATTCTTAGATTCTAAATTATCACACGTTGTCTTGCTTTTGTCAAAGAGGCTTGTATCCATATTATTGTTAAAGTTTTCTGAATCAGCATTTTCTTCGGCAGAGGATGCCGATTGATTATTTGTTTCAATGAAGTAATCAAATGTGCCAGAATTAATAAACCCTTCATTAGTGGTACTATCAACGTTATGATCATCCGTTGTTTGGGAAGAAGTAGATGAATCATTGTATTCGTTAGAGGAACCATCATTAGACACGTTGGAAGAAACAGTTGGCACAGGCGAGACCGACAAACTGGTTGAGTTTCCTGTTTTTGTAAAAACCCCGATTAAACATGTTAATTTATATTATTGAAGACAAGAAATTACTTTTCAAAAAGATTTTACTTACTACTATTTTCTGTTATTTCGAAATGATTTTGCATTTTGAATTTTTGAAACCAATAGTAAATATTCTAAATCGAGCCTTTAAATATTTGTGAAAAAGTCCATTATTTCCAAATAAAGAAAAGATTATCGGCATGACTGCAGTTTGAGAACAACGAATTTTAGCGTGTAACATTCTCATCGAACCCATAGATGGATTAATTCACGCAAACATTCCCTCAATAGAAGTTACCTTCAGTTTTACAAAATGCTGGGCTGCACGACGGTCACCTGACATCATTGTCAGGATCAAACTCAACACATTGGCAGTTTTTTATACGACAGCCAACTCTAAAAGCAATCTTTCATTTCTTCTTAAGGAAAATGTTATTTTATATATTTTTAACAGAATATAATCTCTTAAAATTTTTTGGATACAAAATTCTGTGTAACCTCGAAAATCTCGAATTAAAATCAAACCTCCAAATAAAAGATTTAACACGTCAATCAATTGTTTTAAAACCCCAGATCTTTAGATACCAAATCCGTTTCCACATCGAATCCATTTTAGGTATAGATAGCTTTCCATCAAATTTATTACATGAAATATCGAAAATATCAAATGAGTTCAAATATTATACTATTGAATTAATATTCCACTTGATACTGAATAAATCCAGTAATCGTATTCATCTAATAAAAATGACTTCAATATTTGAAAATAAACGGTTTTAAATATTAAATGTTAAATGTTACAACCTAATTTTAAAATCGTCAATCCCGTTATTTCTATTTCGATAGTTAATAATTGATAGTGAGTGTGTGTATTAATGAATTAAAATGATGACCGATATACACACGTCAACTCGACAAGTCAGTCATTTGTTTATATTAGTGATGTTGGCCGGATATCCACCGAGTTTTAAATATTAATATCCGAATATTCGGACATCCGTTGTCGTTAGGAATTTGATATCTGGCTCAAATAGTATTCTCATCTTAAACACGTTCAAAAGTCATTATTACTATAAATTAATTATTAATGTATATTAATTAGTTACCTAATCTCAGTGATGTTGAATTATTAAATTCTAACGTTATGTCATTAATATTTGCTTGTTCAAAATTATCATCCAAATCAAATAAATCTATAATATAGTTTCTTAATATTAACATTATTGTAATTAAAAACAAAATAGTTTCAAACAAAAATGGTTATCTGAATATAAATGGCTTCATTATGACCACATCCATAAACAAATATTTTGTACAATTTGTATTCAACATAAAAGAAAAAATCAATTTGCCCAAGAAGGTTTGTAATAGAATTATTTCTAATATTTAATATATACCTTTGAAAAAACTTATTTCTTTTGCTTCAGATAGATCAATTGATGGATCTTCATATATTACAAATTAGTGTTGGTCGCCAAAACTATTTTGAAAAGACGAAAGTCAAAACTAAAATTAAAAGTTATATGTCAAAACTAAATCAAAAGTCAATAGTCAAAAATCAAAACTAGTTTCAACTTATGGCGAAACCTTTTGACTTTCGCACGGTTGCGAAACTCTCTAGTTTTGGAAACTAACACTATTACAAATGTAACCAAATCAATTAGCGAATTTTAAATGTTTAAATAAAATAAACAATAAAAATTAACAAAAGAGAGAGGTCATGTCACAAAGGGTCAATACACCCAGCATAAGCCATCAGCAAGAATTCCACTCTCTCACTTGCTGGACTTTAATAACACATTTAAGTGAGTCACACGGGTTTGCTATACCTACTAGTAATGGAAAATGAGCCTTATATACCAACTTTTTTCAAGTTGTGCATGGGATATATACAGTTTACAACATTTCATTGATTTCATTGGACAAATTCTACTGTGTAATCCTATGTAATCTAAAAAAATAAAAATTCAAAATAATTCATAGAAAAAGTAGAGTTGATGATAAGTTGCGAGTTTGTGGAAGTAACTGCTAAATACAAGATGTATGACGACATATGAAGCTTCCAAAGAAGTTTGTAAAATATACTGATGAACGTTTGTCAATTATTCAATAGTTTGTATAGGCGCGATCAAATACAAGATCTAAAAAGTTTGCAAATTAGGTTTTGCAAATGAATGTTTTATCAACTATTCAATAATAATATGGGTGAATTTGATCAAAGTAAATGTTAAAGTCGAGATTTACGAAGCTTGCAATCCAGCTTTGCAGAATGAATATATACTGTAGATGTGATCAAAGTATTTTTAGTAATAAATAAATAATCAATTCAATCGTCAATTAATTAACCAAATAATAAATTCAATTCTTAAAAATAAACAATCAATGAAAAAAGAAAGATGCTTCGCCACCACCAAAAAGTTATCTTAGTAGCATATATGATAAAATAAATAAATAACAAAAAACAATAATGAATTCAATTTTTGAAATTAAATAGCTCTTCTTAAATGTAAAACAAACAAAATTTTTTATTCTTACCAAACAGTTTTCTTCGATTGGAAAAATAATTATTGCACGACAAAAATGTAGATCGATATTTAAAATTTACCATCCAGCGAAAGCAAAAAATTAGGTTTAAAAAACAAAGATTTTTGGTTGCAATTCAATTCAATGCAATTGCAATTGCAACCTTTTTTATAAAATGATAGTTTGAAAAACTCGAGTATTTTATAAATTCTAAAATCTAAAATTTCTTTGGATAATTTATAATAATGAATAATCATCAATAATAATTGAATAAATGACCCAACAAATATTTTAACTATTCATTAAATGAATATCCGGATATTAAATTTAATTGATTGAGTGAATTTAAAATAATTGAATATTCACCACTAATTTTTTATAATCCCAAATTTTTTTTGTACAAAATACCTCTTCTGCACAGTAGTGTAATATTACTCGCAATTCCAGTTGATTTGGTAATGCAGCTTTTTGATATATACTTGAAAGAAAATCACCTAAAATACAGCCAGGGCGTGGATAACTAGATTAGATGTGACTTAAAACACGTATCTCCAAGGATTTGCAGTTTCCATCTAATGGCATTAAGGTCACAAGTCAAATTTCACATCATCAAAAGAGAGAGATGGCTAATACTAATAATATAAAGGCAACGAAAGAGAAAAATCTCTGTTAACATTCCAGGTTAGAGGTTGGCACCGCGTAAAAATTCTTTGACAGTTTAACTTAATCACGTGATTTTAACTGCAAATTTTCTAGGGGTTAGGGGGTTCAATACGAATGTTACACACTATGATTTCGCAAAACCAAAACTGTCCTCCCTTGAAATTCATAAAATTCAAAATTTTATATAACAAAATAACGTTTTTACTTTGTAAACTTTTCAAATAAAATAAACACA